ATATATATAATTGCTATTTAAAGGGAAGCTATATTCCTATAGAAAACATTGATAGCATCTTAGCCCCTCTATATTGGATTTTACAGAGAAAATAATCAGGACTATGGAATGCACCATACAGTAAAATTAGGAAACAGAATCTAAAATCTATGAACAATGTAATGTAATGCTAATTGAATCCGTAGTTTTCCTTGAATGCCTGACAAATATTTACAACTACAAACAAATAAATATCTCTAATGGAAGTTTTTGAACAATTTTATGTGAAGTAGATTAAACATCTCAGAATGAAAGCTTTATTTCTTGTCTGTTTCTTTCTCTTTCCCACCCATGAAGACCTACACCCCCTCTTTCTAATTATGAAAAAAGTGAAGTGTTGCTAAGCAATGAGAATTTTAGATAAGTGGGAATATAATGATTATAATATTCAAGTTTTTTTGTGCCATTTAAAAATAAAAATGGTTCTGCTTCTTAAAGAGCAATTTCTAATTTTATGGATTTGAGTTAATTTCTTCAAGCATGTTTCTATGTTCCTGAAGTCTTTGCATGGTTTCTGACACTTCCTGCTCATCCAGATCTGACATGTGCTACTTCACTTTTGAGAGATAAATTTTACATTGTTCACTTACTTCCGGAACTCTTCATCACACATACGTACATTTCCATAGAAATACCAGGTCCTAGGAATACATGGGAATTTTTCAGAGAGAAGGTGGTAAGAAAGCATGGGAAAATTTTGGGGAAAATCACAGCTTACTAGTTGGCAACAGTGATGGCAGGAAACTCTATATTGTGCGGCAGAGGAAAGCAGATAAACTGAAGCCAGGAAGTGGACAAAACCAGATATGGGACAACAGAAAGAGAAACTCGCTGAGCCAAAAGCTAAAATCACGGGTCAAGAAAGGAGAAGACAGACCGCTCCTGGACTGGGCACCTGCTACACTTCAAGTCCATCCAGCATGCCACCTTGGGAAAGCATCAGAGACCGCCCCCAGAGGAAGCTGGTCTTCCAGAGGCAGCCAGGCTAATTGAATAGGTTCCAATCCTTCCATTCTCTCCACCAGGAAAAGAGAGGCAGCAGATGAGGTATTTGTAAAACAAGGCATTAGAGGTACTGAATTTATGTACAAGAATACACCAGTGGGGCTGTGATTTATGTACAAGAATACACCAGTGGGGCTGTGTGGAACTTAAGAACCAGCTGCCCTTCTGAACAGATGCCTGGATCTGAGCTCTGAGATAACTCCAGCCCCAAGGCTGTGTAGGTCAGCAGCATCTGTGAGTGGCAAGGCACTGAGGAGAGAACAGATCAGACTGATCCAAAATAAGTGCTTCCCAGCGCTTTCCCCAAATCCAAGCATATGGCTATAGGATATCCTACCCATCAGCAGACTCACATAAGAGCCCCACTGCTATCACCAGCCAGGGGCAGCTGAGTAGAGCAAGCCTGGGGCTCCACTGGGTTTGTGGATTTGTGAGTGGTGCTCTGTAGAAAGTAACTAGGGAAGGACTTCAGACAGTCACAGAGTGGTGCCTTGGGCACAAGGCAGCAGGGTATGCACTATGGGGAAGGCTTTCCTTCAGACTAACAGGGGTAGCCAGAGCATCTGCTCTGTAGGGAAAGCAGCAGGGATCCAGAGTCCTGCAGAAGTTGCTACAGAAATGAGCGCTGGGCCAATTATATTACAGCCCCCTACCCCAAAATGACCAAAGTGATTTGACAGAGACAAAGACTGGCAGTTGGTCATATCTAGAGTGTGGCTTACAGTGGGCAGGCTGGCTCCCAGGGCTACCACAGTCACCAGCCTTCCTCTCTGACAGACAGGTAACCGAGCAAATCACAGGTGCCCAGTGAGCACAGCCCAGGGGCCTGTAACTGAACTCAGACTACAAGGTGACTGGAGCTTTGCGTGCTTTCTGAGCCTATGTTTATTTAACCACATCAGCCTTTTTTTTTTTCTTTTAATTGTTGCTTCTTTTTTTTCTTTTCTCCTTTTCATTATCTTCTTTTCTCTCTTCCTATTTCATATTCCTTTCTCTTCCCTCTCTTTTTTCTCCTCTTTTCCTCTAGTGTGTAGGTAGAAGGCATCTTATATGTGCAAACGAGTATAAAAATTAACTGCTGCTGTAATTTCAATGACACTTTGAACAAGAAAGTCAGTGTAACCTCCATCAAAACTGCACCAGGAAGACCGAAAAATGAGTTTACACCCATATATTAATGCACTCTGACATCGTCATACCTTTCCTCATTGTCTAATGACAGTTTTATCCACTGGTTTCCTTTTCCCAAACTCCCACAAATATTTTGTCAAATTTTTTCAGCACTAGATTATTTTAACCAGCTATAAAAATAATTCCAACAGACTCTAATCTCCTTCCATTTTTCGCCATTGATACTTATTTTCTCTCATCTACTGACCATCTCCCCGATCATTTTCTCTTCCTTTACCCTTGCCTCCTTCCTCTACATTTCATTGGTTAGTAGTAGT